CCACCACCGCCACCCTCCTTGTCATTGCGCTGTAGCTATCGGTGCTTGCTCCTTGTTTCCTCATGCTGCGTGCCCATTATCTTGGCGGCTGGCTGCCACGACACCCCAAACCCTGTGAGCGTGCGTGTGAGCGCGGCGCCTTGTTGGTACCGCTGTTCCTGCTTTCCTCTTGCATCCTTTGTCGTTGAGTACGACCCTCCGCTGCGCATGACCTGTGGCAAAATGGTATGCACTGTGAATCGGTTTTGAGGGCACGGTACTCTGAACTCGTGTGATGGAAGCAGAAGGGCTTGAGATGAGCGGTTGTGTTTTGGGAGACGGTGAATGTGGTGGACACAGTTCCCGAGCACTGGGTATCACAGCATACAAGCAGAGACGGAGTTGAAATAGGAGCATGTCGTGTAGCTCTGAGGACAACACAATATGCAATGTGATGTGGTTCGCCACTGTTGTGAATTCCGCATGCCTTTACTCGTGACATATTGCTGTCACCGCACTGTCACTTGAGCTCTTGAACAAACATCTGACAATGCCCAATTCTGGTGCGCACGAACATGGGCACACGAGGGCAAGACTGAAGCGCGTCCATCCCACAAGTCATCACACGTCTGACTCTCCTCACCACAGCGACCGTGACTCTCTCGGACTCTCATCAACAATCATCATCGTCACCACACAATTAGCTTCATCGTCGTCTGTGGTGTGATCTCGAATGATTGTGCCTCGTATAGCACCCCACACACACCCGCAGTATCCAAATGGCTGCCATCACCATCACCGCCACTTTCGCTACGAGGCTGCTGCCGCTGCCACTGCTTCCTGCTGCTGCAGGTTGCTCTTCTTTTCATGCTGCTGCAATTGTTGCTGCTGCTGATGCGCCTGAGCGCTTTGCTGTCGAATGGATCTTCGTTTCCTGGAGCAACGCCGGACACAACCTCGTCCTTGCCTTGCCGACTTGCTGCTTTCTCTTTGCGGGGTTCTGTTGGCGATTCACCGTTGCCTCACGCGTTGCCCGGTGCTTGCCTGCGCGTTGCTGTTGAGCCCGTTGTGGTTCCTGTTGCTGCTGCTTCTGGCGTTCTCGTTCTCGGTATTTGAGGATCTGCTGGCGTATGGCTGGGTCCTCCCTGCGAATTGCGGTTGGCTTGTTTGACTTTGCGGGTCTGCTGACACGTGGTTGCTTCCTGACCTTGTTTTAGTCAGCTTCCTTGCGTGTGGAGCTTGGTGACAGCACCAACGAGGGGATGTTTGAGCCACGCAGCCTGCCGCCTCTACCACCACCCTTCTGCATATCATCCGGCTGCTGCTGTTGTACTGGTTCATGCTGTTGTTGCTGCTGCAGCCATTGATGTTGCTGCTGCTGCTGTGATGCGTGCGTGAGTTGGGCAGTTACATGCGGGACTCGGCTTCTTGTCTGTGTCCTGCTCATGCAGGTCGCGAGTACCGGGCATCAGTCCACCACAGTGTGGTGATGATGGAGCGACCACAGCATCGTCTTCCACTTCGCGGCCGTTGTGGTGGTGGAATTCATGGCGGTGCTCCGCCGGCTCGCCTGGTGTCATGGTCTCAGCCAACTGCAATCTTCTCTGCTGCTATCACTGCCGGTCGACAAACGGGCAGGCCTTGCTTGTGCTGGTTTGTCGACACTTGCTGTGTTTCACTCAGTAGCTGCTGTCGTAGCTGCTGTTGTCGAGGCGTCTTTTGCGAGCCAACGTGCATGGTTGGTATCGACAGGACGGTCGCGGTACACAGTGCTGTTCTGTGGCGGTGGAGAGAAGCGCACATGGGTTGGTTGGTGTGCAAGTGCATGCACGCTCATTGTCGTCGCTGTAGCTGCTGAAGCGGTTGGGGTGGGAAGTGCTTGGTTCTGATGCAACTGCATTGGTGGGTGTTGTTGCTGTTGTTGCTGAGATGGTGCTGCTGCTGCCAGGAATGCTGCCAACAGATGTAGCTGCTTCGAGGATGCACTTGACCTTGGGGGCTGTGGCTTGGTGCTTGTTGTCGATGGCACGAAGGGACAGGATCCATGCACGTCGAGGCTGTGTTGTGCTGGCGCACACACTGCTGCACCTGGAGCGGCTGG